TTAAAGCATACTACTCTGAAGAAAAGGTGTTTGGCAATTTAAAATCTCCCAGCAAAAAGGACCCCGCACTTTTTATAGGGAAAAATGGTTTCAGTCCCAAGGTTTAATTTTTGGTGGAAAATGTAGATCTCAATATCCTGAACAAAAATGGGCACAAAAAAATTAATCCGTCAGGATTTTGCGCTACGGGCCATAGAAGGTTGGCACCTGGGTTTTTAGGCTTCGGGTAATTTTTTTTAAAAAAGAGCGTATTCAGTGGCCGATTATGGAGACATGCGTATCTGGAGGTGTGTTAGAGCGAAAAAGTACTATATATATACAGGGTGATCCATATTTGTGGAATATATTAATTATTGGGGCTTTATTATTACGTTTTGAAAAAAATCATTGAACAGGTCGATTTTTATTTCTAAAATGACATTTTCTGAACAAAATTATTTATCTTTCCCTTAAACCTCTTCGGAGTAAAAGTTGCCCCTTTAATTTTTTTAAATAGAAAGGGGTAGCGTGTGATACCTCATTTTAAAGGGTTTTTAATTCTCTATTCAGCAGTATAAGAGTTTTTGTTTTTTGTACATTTATATTCAAGAAACATCAATTTTTATTTTTAAAGCTTTTAACCAGCCCCCGAACTATTCTCTTAATAATATTTCTATCTTATCTTAGACCATGTAAAAAAATGGCCATAAAAAGTTAAACCGTGCTTTTTATGAAAAACTTTTGCTATTCTGCTACAAGGGAATAAGCAAGGAACATTTATTTACAATTGACGATTATAATTTATACTATTTAATTAGTTCAATTTTATGAACAGTCGTTATGGCGTATTTATCTGAAACTCAGAGAATATATATTTTAATAATGCTTGGTTGTGACAATAGAAAACGAACGCATAGGGAGGTATGTGAATTATTTAATAATAAATATCCAGGACATATTTCACAGTCTACAGTTAGCAAAGTAGCAAAGTTTCGTAGTACTGGACATGCGAAGCGAGTTCGTAACGCAGGTAGAACCCCTGAAGTTGATGAGCATAAACGATTAGATGTTATGATAGCCCTTGAAGAAAATCCGCATAAATCTACTAGACAATTTGCTGCCGAATACAACGTCAGTAAAACAACAATTTTGCGTTTTTTACACAAAGAAAAGTATTATCCCTATAAAATTCAGTTGGTACAGGAGTTATCTGAGGACGATCCAGACCGAAGGCTACAATTCTGTGAACAAATAATGAACAGATGGTCAGGCAGATGTGCAGTTTTTACAGAAAATACGTTTTACTTAAATGGTACTGTCAACCGACACAATTCTCGTTATTGGAGCAGAGAAAATCCTCATTGGATAATGGAGACTCACACTCAGTTTCCTAAAAAAGCGAATGTGTGCTGTGGTATTATTGAAAATAAAATCATTGGGCCTTACTTTTTTGATGACTCTCTGACAGGTGAAGGATATTTATATTTTTTAACAAATCTTTTGGTACCTCAATTACAAGTTTTGTATCCTGATAATAACAATCCAGATGAAACAGATAGAAATGTTTAGTTCCAACAAGATGGTGCTCCACCACATTTTGCACGTGGAGAGGGAGACTACTTGGATAAAGTATTTCCTAAAAGATGAATTGGCAGGCGTGGAGCCATTGAATGGCCACCTCGATCTCCCGATTTAACACCGCTTAATTATTTTCTCTGGGGCCACTTAAAGTCTCAAGTGTATTTAAATGGACCGGAGACTATTGACGAATTAAAAGAAAGAATCACCAAAGAAATTGAAAAAATTGGCCCGGATGTCATACAAGATGTTTTCAAGAATTTAATAACTGCATTGGTTATTGTCAAGAAGTTAACGGCAGTCATTTTGAACATTTAATACCATAAAATTTTAGTATTATTAATAGAATAGTTAAAAATAAAAATTGATGTTTCTTGAATATAAATGTACAAAAAACAAAAACTCTTATACTGCTGAATAGGGAATTGAAAACTCTTTAAAATGAGGTATCACACGCTACCACTTTCTATTAAAAAAATTAAAGGGGTGACTTTTACTCCGAAGGGGTTGAAGGGGGAGATAAATAATTTTGTTCAGAAAATGTCATTTTAGAAATAAAAATCGACCTGCTCAAGGATTTTTTTTCAAAACATAATAAAGCCAATAATTAATATATTCCACAAATATGGACCACCCTGTATATATATAGTACTTTTTCACTCTAATACACCTCCAGGAATGCATGTCTCCATAATCGGCCACTGAATACGCTCTTTTTTGATAAAAATTACCCGAAACCTGAAAACCCAGGTGCCGACCTTCTATTGCCCGTAGCGCAAAATCCTGACGGTAGATTTTTTGTGCCCATTATCTTTTTTGTTCAGGATGTTGAGATCTACATTTTCCACCAAAAATTAAACCTTGGGACTGAAACCATTTTTTCCTATAAAAAGTGCGGGGTCCTTTATCTTTTATATTTTCAAATTAGAAAAAATATGTACCTATATCTCTATTTGATAGTTTGTCAACTAAGAGATGAATCAAATAGAATTTGGTCATCCTTGCCAACGATTTGCCAAAATGTACACCATTAAATTATTTATAAGACTCAGATTTTTTTATACTCTTAAATATGCAAACAGAGATTTGAAATCCTCGAAAAAGTCAGACAAAACCAAAAGAAAAATTAAAATTTTGTCCCATTTATAAATATTATTGATTTTTATTCATCATATTTTTGACTGCTTTATAAAAAAAAGTTATTTTTCTTTGTAGTTTTATTTCTTAACTATTCCAATGGCCCAATTAACGTATTTTCGTAATAACAATAAATAAATTATTATCATGGTCCAACAAACTCGCACCTTAAGCCGAAACCGGCATCGCTGCGTACATTCGTATCTGGTCTAGGATCTGTGCCATGGGTACAGCACGTCACGATAAGGACAGCGCCCCGCTTGTGACGTATAATCCATCGCATGTGTTCATCTCTTGCTAAGCGATATTGTCGTTGTCCTTGTTTTTCGCATCATAATGAGAGATAAATCAACAGAGGCACACATTTACTGTGCCCTGTGTCCATCTTCAGCTTAATTTCGGAATTCTCGGAACGTCGCTCAACGCCCGGTCGTCCAGTGTCGTGCCAACGCGGTTTGCGCTGAATATTAGATAAAATAATAATAGGCATTAAGGAAAATATAAAATATGTAAGTTATTTTTTTTTTGGTTTATTATACTAGGGCACGTGCCCAAGTGCTCTTACGGGCAAACCTCCAATGTCCACCACGTGCAAAAACTAATAGCGTCTTCGAATCTACTGCACGGCTTGCATTGAGTACATACGAAAGGTGGGAGATATGTCAATACCAGTTAATTTTCAATCTGAAATGTAACCGGTATCGATATATCGCTCATCTTTTATGTGCACTCCACGCAGGCAGGGCAGTGGAAGACGCTATAAAATATTTCGGTACAAATCATGCACTGTATACAAAAATATCGATACTTCCATTGTTTAATATCGTTACTTCTATAGTATTGAGGCATCAATAAGATCCCTATTATCGTGTAAAATATAGGCAGTCATTTCATTGTATCTTGTCGTTTACAAAGATTTATTTTTTATTGTAGTTGGAAACTGAAATATTGCAATTTAAAACAACAGACAATAAATTAGAAAATATGTTTCTATTTCATTGATAAGAAGAAAATAACTTACCAAACTTATTCAAACGTATAAATAGTTTACAAATTACAATTTCTTTAAATTCCCAAATACATACCACAAGAAAAAATAACAAGTGACAAGAGACATTTTTTTTTTATGTTTTGTTGACTTATGACAAACGAATGGCTACGTTCGAACACAAGATGATGTTTATAGTACTTCTCGTGGATACTTTATTACGTTGTGTTATCATAACAGGCAGGTTAAATACATAAGTAACAAGTAGATGTTCGCGAGGTTTTGTTTTCCCTCAACAACTTTTCATGAACGTTGCAATTACGTTGTATGGCAATGTTATTACGTTCCCTTAAAACAACATAGCCGAAAGGCTTGGCAACGTTATGTGCTAGCTGGGAGAACTTCTGTTTACAAAATGTATCCGTTTTTACTTCGTTCTAGATCACGTGGAAATCTACAATAAATTAAAAAGAAATTAAATTTATTTTTTAAATAAATGTTCTATGCTAATTTAGTATTTAGTTTCTAATTTTTATTTATTACTGTTGATGATAAAAAACCATTTAATCTAATTTTGAATACAAATCAAAATTTATTTTATTACCGCCCTGTACTGTGTTTATACTAACTTATGAACTGGAATTTTTGAGATTTTCTTTTTATCCACACCATTCCTACTAGGGAAATTCCGCTTAGTACATGACGTCATTGTTCTTTCAATGTTTTTTGTCACAACTAGTTTAAATAAAAGTATATATTTAAAACAAAAATATTAAACAATACACCAACAAAATAAATTGTCACAAGTGAACGTGGCGAACGTGGTGACACTTTTCGCTACATGATTGCATCTCCTTCCCGTTTCTACTTCCATGGAACATACTTTTTTCAGAAAATTAAGCTAAACATTTATTTCTGTTTTTTAATAAGGTGATAAACTTAGGTAGGTATACTTTTGTTCTTTTCAGGTCTTTATTTGAGAATCAAAATATTTTTAATGTGAAACAGTACAGCTGGTACGATCAGAAAAAAATAATTTCTTCTAAAAGGGTAGAAAAATATAAATAAAATCATTCGCTTTCAATTTAAAAAACCTAAAATTTCATAAATAGTATGATATTTGCGCATTATTAGGTACTTAACCACAATATGTTTTATTCAATTTCTGATTATTTTCTGGTTTGAAAATTAAACGTAAGTCGCAAACGCACATATCCGCACCTATATCTACGTTTATTATTGGTTAAAGAAACTCAATAAAGTTATTTATAAATCGGTCTCAGGTTTGAATATTTTGAATTGAGAAACTAAACAGAGAGTCTATATATTATTTCATTCAAACGAACGCGAACTATATTAATATCTATCGAATTAGATCATGTTTTGAAACGCGGGATACCTAATTCTAGCAAAAAAATAAATTATAGTGAAGTGAATTAATGAATGTGAGGGTGGATATATCTATTACCAGTGTTGGCAGTTAAATTTAAGTGATCCTTATTGTTAATTTTTTGAAAAACGATGAATAATAATATTGGAAATAATATTAGAGACAGTGCTGTAATAAGTGAAGATTCTAGTTCAGAAGATGACATAGATTCTTCTGAAGATGAAGGAGATTGTGCAAGTACAAATGGAAATTATCGAGATAGAAGAAGTTTACAATGGTAAATGCAATTTTATTTAAAATCATACCCAGTAAACATTAAAACACTAATCAGAGCCTTTGTAAATGCGTTTTACGTGCCACTGCACACTTTAATTTTGGAATATTCTCTGAAAATAAAATAAAATATATACTGTAGGAACATACCCTTTGTACCCTTTGATACATCCTTTGACGTACATGCATAGTACATTATATAGAAGTAGGTATGACAAAAATATGTGAAACATTTTTGCATTTAGTATACCTTTCAGAATATGATTATCACATAATTTTTAGTTAGTTTATAAAAAGTTTCTTGGTATTTTTCGTTCAAATAGCTTTTACACCAAGGAACTTTTTAATTATATAAAATTCTACCACGGTCAGGAAATTCTCTGACTCAACGGCACACGCCGCCCGTTCTACCCGTTTTTCGAGCATCAGCGGCATACCTAGAATATTCCGTCGTTTCGAGCATGAGTCGGATGCCAAGGTGAAGGTCGCTTGATTTAGACATAGGGTCGGATTAGGAATTTCATGACTTTGCCCCTCCTTAAGAAATAGTTCCTACTGGAACTAAAACTGAATGGTTATATTTGCAACTGGATCATCTTTTACAATTTCCAGTTGCATGGAAGTAACAAGGGATAGTCTTCGTTATAACCTGAACGCTGGGAGAATAGCTGCAGACCAGTATTTCAACCTGGGTATCTTGAAAGATTATTTCCAACATGTTTCTAATGATCCTCCAATTCTACTAATTGCTCTCTATCTTTGGCATAGCTAGTTTCTGTATATTGGACTCCATTTTATGCTTCCTCAGACTGAGTAATGCTTCCCATACATCATGATAGGTAGATCGATCTCGGAAGGTGTTCTTTGTTACCAAATAGAAAAGATAACGCAATCCATCTTGAAGTTTTAATGCTTTTCCAGGGGCCGGTAACTGATCTTGAATTTCTGGCAATCGACCAAACTTCTTCCGGAATACAAATGCCAGACCTCGAGCGTCGTAGATGTTGGCGGAAGTGCTATGGACCAGCGAGTAGTCTTTTGGAACCGTGAGTAGGTCTTGTTGTTGCTCGGTTGTAACACCAAGTCTTGCTTTTCCGGTACCTCCATATGCACCCATAAATTCTTCAAAAACAAGGTCAGGTGTTTATTGAAGTTGGTTGACTTCTTCATGGTCACCGTTAAATGGCGCCAGCTGGTTTTGGTGCACTACCTTTGGTTTACCCTTCGGGATCTTACTTATACGGTAAATGACATCATTGATTTTTTCTTGATGAGGTACGGGCCTTCCCAAGACCTTTGAAGCTTCGGAGAATAACCCTTTTGTCTTTTTGGGTCATGGAGCCAGACTTTGTTGCCTTCCTTGAAACATCCTTCTGTGGCTTGGGTATCGTATCGCTTCTTCATTCTGTCACTGGCGATTTGAAGATGTGAGCAGACCAATTCATGCATATCGTTCATTCTTCTTCGTAACTGGATCACATAATCTTCATCAGCTACATATTCTCCAGGTCGGCATCCAAACTCAAGGTCGCACAGTAGTCTCATCTCACGCCCAAATAGGACCTTTGCTGATGTTTGGCCTGTTGATTCATTGACAGCGGATCTATAAGCCATTGCAAAGAGCGAAAGATACTGATCCCAATCTCGCTGATGGTTTGAAACCACTTTTGACAGATATTTTCCAATGGTCTTATTCATTCGCTCTACCATTCCATCGGATTGTGGGTGCAATGCTGTGGTTCTGGTTTTCTTCATGCCTAGTCTGTCACAGATTCTACGGAAGAGTTGGCTTTTAAACTTTCTGCCTTGGTCACTGTGTATCTCCAAGGTCACTCCAAATCGACAAATAAACTCTTTTATCAACACATCTGCAACAGTTGTGGCCTCTTGATTTGGAATGGCATAGACTTCAACCCACTTCGTGAAATAATCCATAACCACCATCATGTATTTATTACCATTTTCGGTCATGGAGAATGGTCCAGCAATATCCAAGGTGGTCCTCTCAAATGGGCTACAACGTTGTACTGCTTCATGGGAGCTTTCTTTTTTCGCTGAGGTCCATTACTCATAGCACAGCAGATACATTTCTTACACCAGTCCTTTACATCATCGGAACTGTTCCTCCAATAAAACCTTTCCCGAACTCTCTGAAGGATTTTTGAAATAGTTGTCCCTTCTTGGGGTTTAGCATCAGTTGGGCAGCTTGAAGTCTTTTAAAAACATCTTCTAGGTTTTTTAGATGTTCATCAAATGTCTTCCCCAAGACTATGATGCTTATCTTCTTTGTCTACTGGGTCCATTTCCACCTGACAGTACCCAGACTTCAAGTCCAAGGTAGAGAATAGTTTACTTCCGGCCAATGTGTCCAAGGTATCGTCGATACGAGGCAGAGGGTAACTGTCTTTCTTGGTAACATTGTTCAACTGACGGTAATCCACACAAAACCTCGTAGTTCCATCTTTTTTCTGGACCAGGACTACCGGAGAGCCCCATGGGCTGGTAGAAGGTTCTATCACCCTGGCTTCCTTCATTTCCTAAACAATCCGTTCAGCTTCCTCTCTCTTGGCTTTTGGTAAACTTCGAGCTGATTGACGAATCGGCCTTTTACAACAGAAGTTCTTCCTGTTTTTCCTCCTTTTGGTACAAAAATGTCACGATATCGTCGAAGAAATTCCTTTATTTTCTTTCTCTCTAACTGATTCAGAGATTGACCAGCAACTGCAATCGAACTTGCTCGAATTTGTCGTTGGAATTATCAGAAGTTGTTCTCTGACGAATTATGGAAGTTACTGGTACACAAGTTCCGATTCTGGTCTCTTTCTTGATGATAATAGGGTGATCATTAACGTTTATGAGACGGACTGGAATTTCTTTCGCAGTCGTGACTCAATCCCTTTCCGATCAGAATACCTCGTCCAACCTCTTTATCGTGGTTCCGAGGTTCCATCATGACAGGTGTTCCTTCTTCCATAGTTTCTTGAAGCCGTGCTACTATAACGGTTTTACTTCTGCCAGGTACCACCGTATCCTCCTGTACAGCAACTGGCACGGTACTGTCCCCATATGGATGTAGGAATACCTCTTCGGCACCAATTTTGATCAATTTGTCCCTGTTCACCGCAATTCCAGCACCTGATGGTCTTTGTCTCCATCTTTTTATCAGTAAAGGTCTTCATTATGTTAACTAATTGATCGAGTTTATCTTCTACGTTTTCTTCTTTTATAGTCCTCACTTTACTGTATCCAAAAGAAACATGCGTAGCTGCGTCATATTCTAAAGCAGCGGACAAGACATCGACCAATGTTTTGTGGCGGGCTAAGCGGAGTGTTTTCTACATCTCGTGGTCACGGAGTCCATCAACAAATGTTTGGACTGCCAAACATTCCATCATATTTTCCGGAGCGGATGGGTAAGCAAATCGCACCAACCTGGCAATATCTATTTCGTATTCTTGAAGAGTCTCGTCTCGTTTCTGTTTGCGATTATTTAACTGTGACTGGTACATATGCTCCAAATGTTTCTGACCATATCGCATATTTAGTCTCTTTTTGAGTTGCTCAAAATCATCTGTCTCTTTCACAGGTATAGTTTGAAGAACATCTAAAGCGTCTCCTCGAAGGGCGATTGTCAGATTTACGGCCTTTTCTCTTTCAGATCATTCGTTTACCCTCGCAGCTGTCTCGAACTGTTTAAGGTAGTTGGTCCATTACATATTTCGGTCGAAGGTTGGGGCTTTAATACGAGCCGAGTTTACAGCTCCTTACAATTTTAACTTCGACTCCACCTCATGGCACTTTATTTCACCGTCCTTGACAGGTTCTCTTCAACGGAAGACATTATTTTCTCCTCAACAGAAGTCATCTTATTTTCCACATCAGCAGAAATTTCATTTTTCAGAGAAGACATTTTGTTTTCCAAGTCGGAAGAAATTTCATCTTTTAAAGAAGAGATATCAGAAGAAACTTTAGTTTCTAAAGAAGAGATTTCATTTTTCACGAAAGCAACATCAGAAGAAACCTTTTCTTCTAAGGAAGAAATGTCTGAAGAAACTTTATTTTCCAAAGAGGAAATGTTAGAAGAAATTTTATTTTCTAATGAAGAAATGTTAGAAGAAATATCGGTTTTCATAGAGATCATTTTACTTTTTATATCGGAAGAAATTGAAATTATAGCAGAAGATGTATCATCCGAAAATAAATGCGTTTCCGGATCCAAACCCTTATTTTCTATTGCTTCTTTAAGTCGTTCTGCCAGTTCTGCTTTCTTCCCTGTCGTCTCCAACTCGCGATCTTCTAACTCCCGACGTAGTTTGGTCACTTTAAAATCACACAGTTTTTTAGCCATTTTAGTCCACTATTTATTTATAGTTCCACTTCTAACACCAATGTAACGATAGTTTAATTTATTTATAGTTTATTTATTTAAAACACTATTTACAATTTATTTGACGTATTATTTAATTTATATAATACTTAGATACTTACTAACGATTCTAATTTATTTATTACACTTTAACTTTTCATTACAATGCTCTATACTAAACTAAACTGCCCGACGATGAGTCGGGCTATTTATACCAAGTCCAACTCTGCTACGACAAGTCTCCAGACGCTTCCGAAAATTCCATCTCTGACTCAACGGCACACTCCGTCCGTTCTACCCGTTTCTCGAGCATCAGCGGCATACCTAGAATATTTCGTCGTTTTGAGCATAAGTCGGATGCCAAGGTGAAGGTCGCTTGCTTTAGACACAGGGTCGGATTAGGAATTTCATGACATTATTCTGCGTTAATTGTCAGTCTGGCTTTTATTCCACTTTTTTCATTGAACTGGGTAAGCGAGCTTAGTTTTTGTTTTCGAATTTCTTATTTTTACTCAACCAACAAATGCATTTTAGACATCTACCGCCTACAGCTTCTATTGGGGATCGAAAGTGAAAACGTTTGTTTATATAAATAATCTTTTAATACTACTGAAATGGCAGTGAATTTTTAATGTCCTAGGAGTATTGCATACCAAATTATTAAAATAAAAAATAAAATAAAAATGCTGCACGCGCACACTCATAGAGAAATTGTAGTTGTATACTTATAAATTTGCCTTTTTACTTAATAAAACTTTAAGTACTATCATGCAAGTCATTTTTGATCAGTCCGGTCCTGTTCGATAAGTCGTCCCTGCTTTACGTTTTATTGAGTTTTAGTTGCTTAAATTTATCCAATCGGCATATTTGGGTCACTTTTTTTAAATGGTTTATAAATTTACCTAATATTATTATATAAAAAAGAGGAGAGTGAGCCCTTGATCAAATTTCCAATAAATTCTAGTCCAGAAATTGTCGGATTATGTGGTAGTTGAAAAAATCCTTAAGTATAAAATCAAAGTTGAATTAGAAGCACAAGATAAAAAATGGCGATTAACTTAAAATTATAGATGGGAAGGTGAGGTAAGGAGTTAACTCGAGTTATAGAAGGGGAGGGGGGAAGAGACAAGGTGAATAATAGTTAATAGAGCCGAATCTTGATATCCTCGAGGAGGAACTACCCGATAAAGCAACAGGAATCAGTTCTATGAGGTGTTGAGGTGAGAAGATTGTGGATAAAAAGGGTAATATGGAGGGAAAGAGGGAGAGTAGTCAGAGTAGTGTGTTAAATTGGTCTGAGAGTAGAGGAGGTGACCAACATAACAAATAAAGGATGGCTAATATTGATACAGAGGTTTATTATTTGCTTGTTCAAAATGCCAAAATTTGTAACGGGTAGGAAATGGCAGAAGAGGTCTAAAAGAGGTGATAAGAAGAAATGAGAAAGGGCGAAAAAATATGAATCAACCAGATAAGAGATAAAGGATGAGAAAGGAGAGGAAATCAAATAGGGAGTAGATAAGAAAGAAGTGAAAAAAGAAAAGGGAATAGAGAAGAAATAAGAGAAAAATGAAGTTAGTGTAGAGGAAAATAAAGAAAACAGGCGAAACAGGACTGCCTTAGACGCCAATAAATTGGAAGGAAAGCATCTTCCCTTCAGATATCCCAAGCGCCACATGTTATTTGTAAATAGTATCTTATTGGTAAGAGCAGAATAGCAGGAAGAAATCTAAAATTTATATTAAATAATAAGCGGATATTTGAAAAAATGTGATGGAAAACTTACTTGGTAAATTTCAGCCGTAAGAAAATATTATTTAAAAAGCTTATCGGATTGTCGAGCAATTATGAGTTGTAGCATTCGTTTCACTTTGGTAGATGAGACGTACCTATTTAGAAAATAACTGACAAGTTTTATTTACAAATTTTTTTCGAAATAATTCTTAAAACATAAATAATCTAGTAAACAAACGTGGTACTCAATGATAGTATTATTATGAAGTGTTAGTTAAAAAAAGAAGAGAATAGAAAATGACACATGTTGTTAGTTGACAGTTGACATAAAATTTGAAAAATACAAATTATTAAGTAAACTTGAAGGACAAATGACCATTAGGATCTAAAAAATTATTGTCGCACAAAAGCCTACCCTGTGCTATGTTTACTCCTTGCTCGCGGTATGAAGTTTGGCAATATAGAGACAAACGAACCGCCTCACGAAACCGCCGGAAAGATCGCGGTGCGGCGTATGAGTCATAGAAAGGCTGTTTTCGATCGTTCTGGAAAGCCAATAGAGTTCTAATACAGAGTTGGTTTTATATAAATAACGCGCGTTGTCAACGGACGGGAGATTGAATTTAAGTGTTGGACAGAAAAGATTAATTGTAATAAATAAATTATAATTGTATAAATAAATTAGTACGTCATAAATAAATTGTAAATAGTGTGTTTTAAATAAATAAGCTATAAATAAATTAAATAAACATTCCATTATTTTATAAATTGAATCTAATGTAATTTTTATTCATTCCATTTACTATGTAACCTTACAATTTTAGGCCTGATGATAGCCCATAACGGCTGAAACTAGTAGCCATTTAAAAATAAAATTCTGTGGCAAATGACTTAGAGTTCTTTCCTTATAAAGGATTTTCCCATTAGCAATAATCATTGATACATCATAGTTGTAACCGTAGTAATCATAGCAACTATATTCAGTAATATAACTTTTCATGCTAACTAGATACCAATATACCCACGTAAATACTTAAATTAGTTTTCGCTTCCAAATTATGTGTTTAGAATTTATGTTGCAGTTTATTACTAGTTTATATAGAAAAAAGACATTAATATAGAATATGGCAAGTAAATTTGACTGTTATTACCAAGAATCGTACCGGAATCATTTTGTTCCTGGTTAAATAAAACCTTCAACGAGATTAACTGTAATTTACTACATACCGCAAATATTTGTAATTTCAAGTTTCTATAAATATTTGGTTCGAAACCAATTAATTTTCATAACTGCTTTCAGCTTGATGGATTCCAAACTCCCAAGTAACATTGAAACGAAAATAGAATCAATTTTATCAATATTTTCTAAAATAATATTGAAGGAAACGTGGTTCATGGAGAATAATAAAATTAGGAATAGTACTAAATTATTGGCAGGTATATCTTGAATCACCTCCATGTGCTGAGATAATTTTAAATCTAATATTTTATTACGATATATTAAATTCACAATTTTCATACTCACATTTACGTCGTTTAACGTACATAGAAAACTTAACTCACTCTAAAGAAAATATGGGATTAGTATTCATCAATGCATTTCTCATGAGGGTCATTCCTATCAATAAGGGCAGTTTGCGCAAGTCAAAATTTAAAAAAAAATTTTGTTTGATCTATGTTATGTCATCAGTGATGAATAAGAAACTATGTTCATGTACCAGCAGTTCTTAAAAGTTACTTATTTTCTCAAAAAATAACAAACAGTCCACGTTAGTGACAAATAATATCCATGTTAATGACATTTTTGACTTGAATTAAGAAATTAAATAAAGTAACAGAGTTTATTACTAATTTTAGAAAATTGACGTGGCACTTGTAAAGATTTATTTTATCCAGCTTTAATATATATAAAAAGAACATGTCCGTAGCAATCCAAATGTAAAATCCATGATAATGACAAATGATGTCCATGACAATGATCTGTCTGACAGAAATGATATATGTAGGAGTAATGAAAAATAAATAATTAAGTAACACAAAATTTATTTCTTTTTTCAAATTAAAAATAAACATTTAAGTAAAATTGAGGTCAATCGACTATGCTATGAAAAATTTTGTCAACGTGATCACCTTCTGGAATTTGAAATAACCTGTTAGAGACTGGTACTGGAGGAAGCTTTAATTTGTACAGTATTCCAGAAGGCTCTAATACCTGTTTGTCTGGTACCATTGGCCAATTAAAACCATTTTCTTTTCTGACCATAAATGATATAATCATTTTGTTATCATTAATAACTTCAATTATTCCTAGAATAAAAATGTATAATTAACAACATAATATATTCAGGTAATAGCACAGAATAGGTATACCTGGAAACCACTGCTCGTCAAATATCGCATTTATCCAGTCATTAACATTGTAGCATGTGTTTGGTTCATCCAGTTTATTATTATCAGTCACAGTCAGATTCTCAATGGATTCCAAAACCATGGGCCGTACCGGATCTTCGTGTGCGACACTTTCCATATTTTTCGTGTACTTGATAGGGTCACAGATGGTATAATGCTTGCAGTGAGTAGAATACCATGGGCACAGGCGAAGCAGCTGAGTATATTGAAATAAACCATATCTATTCCTTTTTCCCACGTCACTTGATGGGTCTTCAGAACTCCTTTGATAGCAGGTATTTGTTGTGGTAAAATCTTATCTATTTCACAGATAGCATCCGTTTCTATCACATCAATATGAAGTTTCAAATCACTTTCTTTTATTATTTTAACAAATGATTCAAAGCTGTTAACATCTCTGTTACAAGCAACGATACGGTCAGCAATACGTTTTACTGTTGCCCTTATCCCATCAGGAGCCCCCTTTCCATGCCCGGTTTCACTGTAGTTCCAAGAAATTCTTTGTATTGTGGAAAACATTTTCGGTATGTAGGAAAATGCCAGATAAAACATTTTTCTATTTCTGTACTGTGTCGATGGGCTGTCAGATAAAAAGTGAAGTGTAACTGTGAGTCTATTTTCTTCAATAAAATGGGATATAATTGGAATCAGGTGTGCTGTAACAGCACAAGGATCGTGTCTTAAAGACTCTGAAATAGTGCAGAAGCCTTTTTTTGAACATTTTGTGATATATCATCCCCGTGTGTAAAGTGATTTGATCCCTTGATGCACCAAAATGCACAGCCTGTGTCTCTTTCGTATATTTACAAGAAAAATTTTCCGTAAAGTCAATGTGTAGAAGTAGCTCGTGGTCTTTCAAATTATTTTTAAGCCCATCAATTGTAGTGTACTGATGGTTTATATTTAACATATGCTTTAAAAAATAGGCAAACTGTTATGAAGGTACTTCAAGATGTTTTCTAACGTATTTGTAATAGTATTTTTAAAAGTTATTTATACCAGGCGAGAACTGCATTCTGCTTCATTAGAACTACAACTTGCGGATGCAGGCATACTCGTCACAATATTTATTTCGAAATTTCCCAGTTGTTCGGATAGATCGTTCTCTGCATCTGATACAGGTGGAGTATTTTCCGTAACCTTCCTATACATGCGAACTTTGTTTCGATGTTTCTTTTGTGTTTCTACCCATTGTTTTTTCTTAGCTTTGTGTTCTCGTCGTGAAAGATCTTTCACAAGTTTAACAACTCCTTTCTGCTTGTTGCTTTCATATCTTTCGTGATCCTTTATACGTTGTTGTTCTCGTTTTACTGGATCATTTCTTATTTTTTTTCCGTCTTCTTCTTTCACAGTCCCTCTTTTGTTTTCTTCGCTCCTCAAGCGAAGTATTTTTCTCTCGATCACAGTTCTGTAGAAAATAGATCACTGAGAAATGAGTAGAGTACAGTACAGTAGAGTATAGTTGGTCATTAACATGGACAGTAATCATTCACGTGGACAAGCAATGTCCATGTTAATGATACTTTTCTCTGTCCACGTTAATGACAAGAATGCCATTTTAAGTAAAAATCTGATTAGACTAAATAAATATAAAATTTTTTAAGACGAATCTATAACAACATTCCCTCAAGCTACTTCAACTACATATTTTTTAAAATGAAACTAGCAGTATAAAATACTTACATGAGGCACGTTAATGACACCTATTAAAGATAACCTCCGAATATTTGGCAAACTTTCACTTACACTGGCTTCCTCAAAACTAATAGTTCAAAGAGTTGTCCTGTACCTATAGTATTTCTTTTAACGGCTATTTACCAATGTTGTCATGGTTCTAATTCTTTCTCTGACATCGAGATGCAGTGAATTTATGAAGTCCATGTTAATGACAGAAAATGCCAGGGACAAATTTTAATTTTTGATAAAATATTAACTTTCTCTAGCTTTACGCTAAAAAGTGATTATGTAGTTATATAAAGCTTCATCTACGAGACGCACATTAAAAAAATATTAAAAACTAATTTTCTTCTTGCTTAAATCAATTTTGATTCACTGGACTCCTTCAAAGGACAGTCCATGTTAGTGACATTTTTCACTAAAAAACAAATTATAAAAAAATAACTATAACAGATAGAAAATTAATTAGTGGTGCGTCAATAGAGGTCGAGAGATGTGTATTATGCTCCCACGCAAAAATATTTCAGACTTTGGTTGTTTAGGCTGAAAATCATAAGGGACACTGAAATTTCCCCTATTCTGAGAATATCCCATACATACCGATGCTGTAGAGAGGTATTTGAAGATTTGAGAACGAGCCTGAAACGGCGTCTGGCCCGAATTAGCACATAAAATTTCTGTCTAGGAATCTCGTTAGTCAATGTGGTCATGGTCTAGTGGTAAGGGCTTTTGTCTAGAGAACAAAGATGTCTGGGTTCGAATCCCGACGATGACAGGCTTTGTTTCAAATCTCCTAGTATTTGTTTTTATCTTTAGGGTTCGGGGATGGTCTTAATAATTCGCAAGGGAATTTTCGAGATTTGTTCCGAATTTTCAAATTATTTTAAATCGGTTTCTTTGAGTGGTTTTACCTAAAATAAAGGCGCCTGAGTATGGAAACTTAAAATTTAATAGATACAATTTAAAATGACGAGACGTATTTGAAAATAATATTTTTTAAATCATTTTGCATAAAAAAGACACAATAAACATATTCGGAAGGGTTTTTTAAATATATAAATATATTTTTTTTAAAGTAATATTGTATCACAACGGAAGAAAATTTCTAAAGTTTCTTTTCAATTGTGATTTGGGGTGCTAACTTAGATTTTATTGAAACTGTGACTGGTTGTGGTAAATCAATTTATTCGCTGGCTAGCATACAATTTGAGATACAGCTAGTGAGTAGCGGAGAGTTTAGTGTAACTACTACTTTCTTTTTTGGTGTTGGTGTGTTTTTTTTTACATAATACTGCTGTCACAAAAAATAATCTATCATGACAGTTACCAAAGCAACTCTTCTATACAGGTTGATTACTTTTTCTTGTTAAAAAGTGAATTTTTAACAAATATAATATCCATTATAGCTTAAAAAAATATTAAATACGGCAACAGTGTATTCTGTAACAGACAAGACCGAACGGACGTAAAACACGAGTTTGACATTTCCCAAATTTTAAAGGCCCTCATTTACGAGCACGCAAAATGTCCAAATGGAGTGACTGTATTCCAAAATCCTTTCGTAAATGTTGAAAACTGAATGTAAAGGCGTGGCGTGGTAGTTTTGCTGGATATCCAGATGTCCAAAACATCCAACGAACTATGGTAGCATTCTACGGCGTAGACGCCATGGAGGAAGGATAAGTAGACGCTGTATGAATGAGAAACCCCGAGTTGGTTATGCACGACACAACACAAAAAATTACATTATTCACGCATCCATGGGCGTCGTTTGGGGGGGGGGGGGGGCAAGGGGTGCAGTTGCCCCCCTGGCTTTTAGCGACTTACGCTCGTATGCACCGCACACGTTTAATCCAGATCAAGGGTTTAATCGCGATTGGTACCACAGCTAAATATGGTACTAAACGCGATTAAACCCGTGATCTGGATTAAACGTGTACGGTGCATACGGGCGTTAATCAACAACACGTAAGATTATGCATACGAACAACAATCTCATATAGAAATAATAATATTAAGGCTAATATACATGAAGAATATTATAGGTTAAATATATTTATTGAATATCGTCGGTCTAAGATGCAAATGGCCCAACTCGTAAAATATAAATTTTTCAGAAAACGTAAAAAATCTTTTAATCCTAACCTTAATGTAAAGGGGTTATACAAAATGAGTCATGTAATTTTTGGCGCGAATATTTAAAATAGGCTTGGCAGGCCATTTCGAATCGACAGTATAGATCTTTAACTAGCGGGTAGCCAATAAAACGTACCTTTGGTAAAAAATGGAGTCAGGCCATTTGCATCTTAGGCCGACGATATCAGGATTTCCTTATTACGTCGCTTACATCACGCTTTTGCGAAGAATCTGTTAATTTTCCTTAAGCCTGTTACATCCCAAAAGCATAAAAACAATACTTTTTTCACTACCGTTTAGAAAATGAAAGTAGTGGAAAAATTTGGAATCGACAATTTTGAAGCTGAATACCAAACTGGAGTACGAAAGAGCTTTCTACACACAATGAGCTTTTCATTAATGATATAGCATCCAAACATTGTGAATTTTATCCAGACATAAAAAGTGGTTTAAAAAATATGTATGGCTCTTCCACCAACGACAGAGTTAATCGAAAGAACGTTTAGCACTCTAAGGCATGTTAAAACATGGCTGCGATCTATTCGATCAGTGCGAAGTCATGGTAGGGAAAGCAAAAGCGATACTAGCGCAAGCTGCGGATAATTCGAGTACTTTAGGGCGATATTTTGTAATTTTGGCGTATCAAATACACGTATACATTTTACTTTTTACTAAAAAATAGTTTAAAAACAATAAAATGAGCAACCGGAGTTGCTATGTTGCAAATTATACTAGCAAAAAAACTGTAAACTATATAAATGTTCAGTAGCAAAATCGAAATTAAATCAAAAAAATAAATAGATAGGTGTATAATAAGAAGAAAAAAACCTTCATTTTTGTAATAATAACAGTAATACTAAAAATAATAGACATCAGAAAAGGTTTTAAATAATAAATTATTATTTTATGATATTCTTCAACATCTCTTGAGTCTTAAATGTTTAGCAAATCATTAGATTTCTGCCTTTAATTATTGTATATGGCTGAAATGCAATCTTATGACTTATTGATAGGAAACCAGTTTTAATAATTAATTTCTATGGGTTCTTTCTTACTAAAAATGAAGAAAATATAAATTACAATCGCAAATATACCAATTATTTTTGTTAATACGTTTTAATTCTACCTTATTATATAATAGTAGTGTTTTTATTTTGACATTATTTAACCTATTCTTCAATGACAACTTATTAGGCTTAGGCAAGATCTCATACATTTTCTCGTAAATACCTATCTATGTTTTATTATTGATTTTTATTGATTATACTACTTTTTTTTAGGTGAAGTAATAAAAATATATAATAATAATAATATTATTAATAATTTTTTCACTTGTTTTATAAATCTATATACTTTTATTTTGTCTTTTTTTGTTGGATTATTTTATGTATTGGAGACTTGTTATGACAACTTAAGTATCAGTTCTGTCAAATAAGTATGTTACATTGTTAGGGTTACTACTACAGTTCCACTCCCCCTTAGCTTCGCTATTCAGTGAGATTTTTGTTCTGTTTGAAAGATTTTCTTATAATGGATTCAATTGTTCTGTGACGTCATGGCTTACTTCCGATTTTTCCGAAAATAACAGATTTTTTTTATTTTTAAAAGGAAACTCTTTTTTATTGCAAATTTAAATTTCTGGGACATTTTTGTATAATAATCGTGAATTGACAATTTTCTGTCAGCTGTCAAAATGGCCGCCATAATGGATAATATTTTTTCTAAATATGTTACTATTAATTCGTTTATGGAAAAACATATAGGAATGTACGAACTTTATAAAATCTTTTTAGGCTTCAAAATTCCCATTGAAACCCATTTACCGTATACCAATGGCGTATCTAAGCATTTTTATTATTAGCAAACCGTTTAATAATTCTATCCGCTTTTATCTTCGTTGTTAATTGAGATACTGGAATGAAAACTTATTTGTTTAAAAGCTTGGGACAAATACTCTCATATACTGGATTCAATTGGTGTGTGACTTCATGGCTTACTTCTGTTTCATCAGAAATAACAAAATCTCAATTTATTTTTAATTTTTAAATAGAAACCCCGTTTTTATTGAACATTTGAATTTTAGAGACATTTATGGATAAGAATCATGTGTTGAAAATTTTTTGTCAGCTGTCAAAATGATCATGATATTGGAACATATTTTTTTTAATATGTTACTGAAAAAATTTTCAATACACGCTTCTTACACAAAAATGTATCAGAAATTCAAATTTTTAATAAGAAAAAAGGTTTTCATTTAAAAATAAAAAATAAATTGCGATTTTCTGTTATTTCTGGAAAAACCGGAAGTAAGCCATGACGTCACAGAATAATTAAATCCATCATAAGAAAATTCTCTTTTATGTTTCATTTTCTTTGTTTTTCAATAAATAAACATACTCAATTTTTTCAAAATGTTGCCCCCCCTATAGAATTGTGTAACGACGCCCATGCACGCACCCATTTGGAGTGACCGTAAATGAACATTTTCTGTACGTAAAATCCATTTGGAGTGACGTAAATAAACATTTTCTAGACGTAAAATCCATTTGGATGACGTCCAGTGTGGTATGAATGGGGGCCTTAGATAACTATTCAAAACGCAATTATTCAAAATACAAAAAAAGACTTTTAATTTAAACTATAGAGAGCTCCTACTAGGAATATCCCTACAAGGGGGGTCTCCTGTGGGAGGATCCTTCCCTGTGGAAAAAAGCTAACGTGACAATACGACCAATTTATGGATTTCCAAGAGATGCAGAACTTTGTAAAAATATTGTTTGTGAAATAAGAAGAACGTTAATCCCATTTGTATAAAACTTTTTGGGACATATTGTACTTATATAACTTAAATATTTCTGTGTAGTTTTGATATCCAAAACAAAAACAATTTATTAAAGAGAATATATTTTCTGAAAACATTCTGTTATATATAGGGTGTTCCTAAACATCATGTCATAATTGAAGGCACAATTTATGACTAAAAGTTTATGTATACATGTGTCCTAAATTGCTTTGTTTCGAAGATACAGGGTGTTCAAATTTTTAAGAATAATCAATTTTTCGATAAAAATGCAAAAAAATGAAAATACTCAGAACACAAGAAAGTTGGGTTTTTAATTGGATAATTCAGCGACCAAATAGAAAATATGGCAAAACACAGTAGCGTACTTTTTTTTTGTCAAAATTATTAATAAGGATGTCTTTGGGTACTGCACTGGAATTGATAATTTTGGTCTAATCAATTCTAAATCAGTCTCTTACTCAAAGAAACATATGTACCAAATTTCATCAAAATCGGAAGAAGAGTATTTATGATAGTGATGAAAAACTGATTATTTTTGAAAATTTGGATACCCTGTATCTTCGAATCAAAGCAATTTAGGACACATGTTTTTATGAACTTTAAATCATAATATGAGCCAACGAATTATAGTCTTTCTAGACACAATCCAACACGGCAGAATAACCGATTAGTACCGACTTCAAAGGGACCGCGCACATGGGCGTACCAAATTTATTATTAAAATGAAGTAAATTAAATTAATAATTATGTATAGTTCTTCCATTAAACTCGTTCCGAACTCTTACCGACAATTTTGTTTGATTTGTCACAGGCGTAGATACCTCATTTTAAAAATTTAATATTTTTATAAATACGAGAAAGTATTCGTTATTAGGCGATCGAATGATTATAAATTGGACGGCATTATACCCGTTATTTAGATAGATGCACTTAATTGTAGTCTTACTTGAAACTTAAAAAAATCATTATTATAGATCGGTAATTTGCTACAACTGAATATTAAATTATAAAACGTAAATAGACGAGTAAAATGTACCTGCCTGTAAGGGCGTTTGGTTCAAACAGGGCACCAGACGTGAACTGATCCCTTTTCGTACCCCATTCGTTTTTGTTTTTCCGGAAAACGAAATTTCGAAGCAAAAACTATAAAGGAAAATAAATTATTTGCAAATAAAACAAAACTATAAAATAATTTAGAAAAATGAATTTTTTAAAAGAAATAAATGAATACGAACTAATAAAATGTTAACAATGAATTAATTTGATGACTCTCGGATTACCAATAATGAAAAATAAGAAAGTTTGGATATATAACTACTGGAGCTATAGAAGGTAAAATATGATATTCTTTTTCCTTTTTAGGACGTGACTAATGCAAATTTTCCAAACGTCAGTCAAAGACGGATCTTTAAAAATGCCATTAATATTTTCCAAATCACATTTGTTAAGGTAGGTGAAAAATTATTAGGTCTCAGTTTTTGTTTAACTGAAGACCAAACTAATTCAATTGCATTAGGTACACAATATTAAGTTGGTAACCTCAATACAGTATGACCATCATCTTTTGCAAAATTATCAATATAATACTGTATTGGGATATTCTTACTTTAACAATTTGTAACAATTGTGGTTTTGTTTTTACGGAAGCAGGCCTATCAATGTTATTATCTTTTGAATACTTTAATATATCTGATTTCTTAGAGTCACTATTTGGCTTCTTGTGAATTTGCCGGGAATGATATGGCGTATTGTTCAATTCAATGACTGAATTAGTTGGAATATTCGGTAAAAGTTGTTCAGCAAACCAGTTCTTAAAAACTGCTGCATTCATATCTTCATGATAAACCAGCAGAGCTTTATTGACATATTTTGCTGAAAGTAGCGAAGCGTTTGCTACAAAGCCATTTTCATTTCCGGCATGTAAAATTATGACTCTAGCATCTACATCTACCTCAAAAGGTCTCCAGAAAGCATTTCGTATAACACAAATCAAAATTTAACAGAAACACCGAAAAATAAAATCAAGTTTATAACAAACGATTTGGGAAAATTTTTCAAACCGTGCACGCTACTGTTCAAAGATAAAACAACTAAAGCAGCCAGGCGAGTCAGCAATTCTGGCCGCTCACTTGTGGACTTAACATCAACTGTAGGTGCGTAGATGATTAAAACTTAAGTGTGTCACATCAGAGGCTATACCAAGACGGTTCACGCTTATTTGCAATGTAAGGGTATAGAATTTGTAGCATTCGCATGGCATGTAACGCGAATTATTACGCAATCCCGGTACAAATGCTATGTTGGATTGATTTTGGAGACAGTATACCTACTTCAATTATGACATGATGTTTAGGAACACCTTGTATATGCAACTCAATATTACCAAAAATGGGCTTAATTGCTTTCACCCCTCTACCAAAATTGTATTCATGATTATTTTACTGTTATGCCTACTGTTTTTTTTTTTTTTTTTTTTTATTTGGTGTACGGCTTCAACATCTAAGGTCATTAGCCTAGTGTTCTATGTAGGTTATGGATTGTATTAGTAGTCTAATACTCCATAGTGCAGGAGTATTAAAATGAGAGAAAAATAATATTTAAAAAATTGTTTAAAAAAATATTTATTAACAAATTTGAACCCATTTTTTTTTATTTTTTCAATCAACCAAAAAATTGAACTTTTTTATATGAAATTAATTTCGTCAAAATTTAGTCAATGTAAAAGTTTTTAGTAAAAATAATGTAATAAATCTAGTTAAAAAATTGTTTAAATAGATTTAAAAAATTCAACAATTTCGTGTTTTCTTGGTGCAGACTTCTTGCGACACACTGCGACAATTGTACATAGTGTGCTTGATATTACAATAAGATTCCTTTGGCTACTTTTCAGTCTACAGTTAACGAAAAAACACAAAAAACAAACAATATATTGTTTATTGAAATCAAAACAAAAATTTGAATAATTTTGTATATATTATTATGACCTTTTATCAGCAGACTTATTTTTTAGGTGTCCTGTAGATACCTACAAGCATAACCAACGTAATCATAACCACCCTCATCATAAACAACACCATAACCATCAGCACCATATCCAGCCACATCACCAGCTACATCACCATCCTCGACACCACCCTCCAGTAAAAGTAGTATGGCCTCCTCCTTCCAACGCTACTCCCTCAACTTCTTCATCGAATCAGTTTCGGTTTAGCAACGTTAGGATAGGGAATCCCAAGCTTGGAGCGAAGATGCAACTTTATTGTAAAACTGGACACCACCTGGCTATATATCCTGATGGGAAAGTCAGAGGAACTGGTGATGAAAACGATCTCCACAGTAAGTAGTTTAATTAAATCGACAAGATTTTAATAATTGACAATTTACCGGTAAGAATAGGTCTGTAGACTGTAGGGTGGGTTAACCCACGGGTCTTAAGCCTCACTAGGTCCATTATGCATCTTCATAAGTAGATAGGTACCTCCTAACTCGTGAGCCAACCTACAGATTTAATGTAATTGACAACGTCGTTAAGAGGTGTTTTTCTTATATCGGCCGATGTTAGCGAATTCTCGCCGAACACAAATCTAATAAACGAGAGCGTCGGGCAAACTTAGAGAATATGCTGCATGGTCTCATCTTCTTGTTCACATCCCCTGCAAAGTGCGGATTCTGAAAGCCCCATGATGTGGACATGCTTCGATACTTGGCAGTGACCCCTCAGAATGCTCAGGCGCGGATTTTGTTTAGTCATAGTCAAGTATTTGTTTGCTGTAGTCTTGTCAGGATAATTTAAAAGCTCCCTGGCAAATTTGCAGCTTCTTGTTTTATCCCAGCTTTCCTTGAATTTCACTAGGGAATGTTCTTTAATTAGGTTTGTCAGTACCGATGTTGTCAGTCCAATAGAAGGGCAAGGTCCAAAAAAGTATTTGGTTGTCTGCCTTCTAGGCTAGTAAATCAGCAAGACAGTTACCTTTCGATGAGGCGTGATCTTTGATCCATCTTAAGTTGACCACATTGTTGACGGATATTTCGGCCAAAGCTTCATGACATTCTAGTACTAATCCTAACTAAATTCGTGGTCTGTCCAGGGTGAGCAGTACTTGTCTGTTATATGTATAAATGAGCATGTTTCTTCCAATGATATTATTTCTGGTGATTTCTTTTGCTGCTATGAGAATCCCCGTGAGGTCGGTTTGAACTACACTGGCATTATTGCTCACAGCCCATTTTATGTTTAAGTTTAAGGATCTGGAGTATATTCTACACCCTGAACCTTGTTTTGTTTTAGAACCATCGGTCTAGATATGAATCTTACCTGCCTCTTCTGGATCTTCTCTTTGCTTTACTTTATATGGCTTATGACAGATATATCTTGGTGAGATTGAGTCCATATTCACTTGAAGCAGTGGGAACGTATCGAGCGCCTTCTACCAAAAAGGGCATCACCACATCCTCTATTCTAAGCGCGCAGAGGCATATCAATGTCATCAGAACAACCTCTTTGATGAAAATATCAAGGGAGTGGTACTAAGAATGACTTTCATGGCTTTGGTTGGTGTGGTTTTCATGGCTCCTGTTATGTTGAGACATGCTGTTCTTTGAATTTGTTCTAGTTTGCGGATAGCTGTCAATTTTAGGGGTTTCGGTACCCATACAACTGCACCGTATGCTAGCATAAGTTTTATGATGGCCGTGTAAGTGCATGAGACGACTCTGGGGGAGAGACTCCAGGTGCGCAACACGTATCGACGGGATTGTTCATAAGCAATGTATGCTTTTTTACTCATATGGTTACGTTGATTTGTTCCTGTCAAGCTTTTTTGATGTTATTGATTTATGTAGGTACTTTTCTCTACTATATGCTTAGAAACTGTTTATAAAAAGATCAACAATAAGCTTTACCAAAGATTACATGTATGACAATCATATTTCTCCGACAGGAATCAGGTTAGTTGAAAAACAAATATTTGAAAATAAAATTTAACTGAAAATTAACCAGCTATAATTCAAATAAATTGAAACCATAAACAAATATTTGAAAATAAAATTTAAAATTCAATCATGATTCAAAACTTTTGGTCGTTAAAGAGGACGTATCCCAAGGATTTATTTTGGATACTTGTTTGTTCCTGTTCTACATTAACGGCAATCGAAAACGATTTGTGTATTGAACTATTGCAATAAACAGTGTCTGGTAATTTTGTAGCATATTTGGAATTATCTGCCGCTGGATACCCAGGACATGTCAGAATACGTGGGTTACTTACAAACTTATACATTGCAATGGATAGAAGAGGACGTTTATATGGAGAGGTAACTATGAATATTACATCAACAAGACTACCAGTAGAATAGTTATAAATAATAAAATATTAATCATGAATTAGGAGTGACTTTTTATCATTTAAATTAACATGTTTAATGTGTAATTGTAAAAAGGATAACGGGTGGAACGAAAGTTTTGGAATAATTTTTTATCGAGTATTTATTTTGTAGAGTGAGCTATGACTAAGCGTTTTTTATTTACACCACACGTTATTTTTGTTACAAAATGTCTTACAAATTAGAATTACGAAAATTTAGAGCTACTTGATATCGTGCAATTCGAGAATGTGAGGAAGATTAACCTTGTCAAAATATAACGAAAAGTGATCGGCCACGAAAGTTAGCTGCAGCCAGAACTCAAGGATACTTAACTTTTCTATTAGGATTTAGAGGTGCCGTAGAGCCGATAAATGTAATCCCACAACAAGTCAGATTTGTTCTGTGCATTTTATCAACAATGATTATAAAATAGATCTTCATAATGAAATATTAGGTAAACGGGTTTGCCAGTGAGGAGGCGATAAAAGAAAACTGCAGTCCCTACTTTAATTCTTGGGAATAATGAAAGTGAAGATAAAACTTTAAAAAATAAATAACGGGAGAGTCGAATCTTAAAAAGAGAAATGAAAAATAGGGTGGATGATGTTAAAAAGAATATACTAAAATTTCCACACATTTAGGGATTACTGAAAGCAGCACAATTGAAAGTCAAAACTGTTGTTGAAAGTGTTAAGCGAGAGCAAAAATAAGCTTGAAGATGGTTTTAAAATTATAAAAAAAGAAAAGGCCAATATATTTACACAAGTAAAGCAATTAAATTTTTTTTAAAGCAAATATCAGAGACTGTTCAAACAAAATAAAAAACTAAAGGCCAAGAAAAATGTTTTTACTAAAAAAGAAATGGACAGGCATATCTGCATGTAAAACAGCAATTATATTTTCCACTTCCTGGTTTGTCTTCTCTAAGACGATGTGCTAATAAATTATATTTTACAAATGGAATCTTAGTGTATTAAAATTTATGCAGTTGGACGGAGAATCAATAACAAGCAATCTGTAATATGTGTACTATTTTGTACTAATTGTGTAGGATTGTCAACAATCCAGCGATGCTGATCCAGAGAAAAAAATGTTAGTTGAGGAATGCCTGCTTTTCGGTCATCAACCTAATTTTAATATCGGAGACCTATGTGACACCTTTTATTTTAGCTCATCAACCTATTTTAGTTTGTGTACTTTTTATGTACTACGTGTACCATTTGAGGTACAATTTGTACTAGGGTACAACATTTTCCCAGTGGTTTACCTCTATACTATACTATACTAAAATAGTAATGTTTCAATAATCGCGCATTCGATGGTTCGGCAACTACGTCATTGTCCCGAATACTTCCGATGATACACGATGCATTAAACAATCCTATATAGAGTAAAGTATCCTTGTCAGAACTCAAGAAGACTTTTGCACTTAATAGAGCGTCCACTTGCAAGTGTGCTCGTCGTTTTCACGTTTATCACACGACTATAATTGGAGAAATTAGAAGAAATAGCCTGAAGCACAGGAAAAGACGAAAATGCCCAAAATACACACAAAGCTCAACTTCAGAGAATTCCTCGTTGTTGCTTATTTTTGAGAGATATTAATTTTGCTACAAACAAAATCATCAAATAAATATAAATATAAGACCAAAAGCAAATTCCCCGAGAAAGTATTAGTCTGAAGAGCTATTTCAGAATAAGGTGTTTCTAGGCCTCTACGTCACGACCTAAAGGAAGAGTTGGGAACGCTCTAACTGCATCTCACACACAGATCTGCAAACCCAAAGATCATCGGATGATATTTTAAAATCTATTAATAAAATTTCACTGTAAATATAGATGGAAAATCAATCTTTTAAGTACAGTCTGTTCGCTATACTTACGCGGGTTTTGGATTAATAAAATTATGCAAATTAGTCATTGACAACCAGTTCCAATAAGCCTCCTCCCGAGAAATTGGGTAAAATTGCCCTAATGGCCAGATTTAAATTAAAATAACATTAGGGTAGGTACTAAATTTGTTACAAATATTGCAGTTGAATTGATTCTTTGCAAGTGTTGATATTGTATGTATATTGTAAATTTAGTGGAAATTTTATAAATGCCTAGACGTGTGTTAGATGTATATAGTCTAATTTGTAGTGCACGTAAATATTTTACGGATGAAAAAGAAAATGGCGGTCCTTTAAAATCGGTAATGTCTGTACAACAACGCGTACGCGATGCTCTAGGAATTAGTGAAACCAAATTAAGAGGAGTATTACAAAATCACAATAGTGAACTGCCGAAAGAAGATCACCTCAAAACGAAAAGATATTCCAGATGGAAAGAAATTTGAAATTCGTGATACCATTTATCGAATGAGGGCCAACAAGGAACAATACAATTCTCTCGGAATTAATAGATTTGACGACATTGGCAGAGCAAGTCTATGGCAAGTGATACATAACTTGGGTTTCAAATTTCAAAAGGAGGATAACAGAAAGGCCCTTTGTAAAAGAAATTCTGTAGTGCACAAGAGAATTAACTTTCTAAGAAAATATTATAAATTTAAAGAAGAAGAGGCGAATTTTATATATTTAGAAGACACATGGATATTTTCTAGGGGTGCAACCAAGAGAATATGGCAAGATAATAACGTACAATCCATCAAACATACCGATGGAGAAGGGAAGCGACACATAATTTTACATGCAGGAGGGAAATCGGTGCTGATTTAATATTTTAATCTAAATCAAAATCCAGTGACTATCACGATAATATGAATACAGAAATGTTTGTAAAATGGTTGCATGAAAAACTTCTCCCAGGTTTAAGTGAGCCCAGCGTAATTATTTTAGACAATACACCTTACCATTATGAAGTAATAAACAAAAGTCCAACGAAATCTTAAACTGTTGATAAAATTAAAGAATGGTTGACAAAGGAACATATACCATTTCCTCAATATATATTAAAATCAGAATTATTACGCTTGGCAAATATACACGCAAAACCAAAAACCTTTGTTGTGGATCAGATTATTGAAAGTCACGGTCATCAAGTTTTACGTCTGCCACCGTATCATAATAACAATTAATGGTGATGACAGTGATGATGAGGATTATGATATTTTGGATGATAATGACTGATTTTCATTTTTGTTGGCAAGTTCAATTTTTTTATTTTTTATTTGAAATTCTCTAAATGGAACAAATTTTTATGTTAGAAAATATTTTATTTGAGCTAAGTAACCCTCTTATTATACATAGACCATATTTTCTGTGTGAAGTGTAATATAAAATTATTATTAGGTCTATAATAGCAACATTAGATTCCATTAATGAAGAAGTTTAATTCTGCTCTCAATTATACAAAAGATTCTCCATTATTATTTAATTAAAAAGTTGTACATTTTTCATTTCCTTTAACCAGTTGATATTTCCCCAAAGAACAGGTCAAACTTTCGGGTACTTACCTGGAAATACTCATAAAAATTTTAATCCAAAACCCGCGTAAGTATAGCGAACAGACTGTATGTTTGCCTCGAATGGTAAACGTTTAAATATAAATAATTTATAATTCAGTGTGTTCAGTAATATTTGAAATATTCAGGCGACTTTTAAAGGTACAACTTTGAATTCAAATTTTTATCCAATTTGTAAATAAGTGCGAAATATAGCTGAACACATTTTAATATAATATATCAATCTACTAACTTATCTAACTTTTTCAGTCACGCATAGATCCACCTGCAGAAGTAAGTAAATAATAACAGTTTGATTAACTTACTAAAATTAATTAGATAGGCATATAACTTGTTAATTTCAATTTAAATTCAAATAGAAAAAGTTATTATCTTTAAGAACGGAATTCTCGTGATCACAGCTTTTAAAACTCTTATAGTTTGATTTACACAGTGTTATTTATTATAAATTACCAACCCTTTACCATCGTTAGGAAATTGTTGCAGAATCAATCGATTATTACTATACAAGTAGTTAAATAAAATAAACCATAATACATTTAGAAAGGTAGAAATAAAGAAGCACATTTTACATTGAACATTGAATTTAACTTTAGGCACGAATTTCAGACAATTATTGAGTCCGAGGAATAAAAATAAATGTAAAATCAATTTAGGGAATTCATAGATTAAGAGGAACATAGTACCTTATTCTCTAAAAAATCAAAAAAGCTTAAAATATTATTGGCGGGGGAGGTTTTTGCGACAAACCCCGATACACGTCGATTTTGTTATCGAGGAGGACAACTTTTGATCGTTAACTCATGGTTGTACGATCATTCCACTAAAAGGGGTGGCAACCCTTTCGAGAATCTTTAATGGCATAAGGGGTTGAGTGGTACATTATTTGAAAGGTATTTGAAAGGTATTAAAATTATTGTCAGAAACCAGTTTAAAATATCCGTTAAGGGCTTGGTCTCCCTGCTGTAGACCAAAAGTTAAACGCGTTTTTCGAAAGTAGGGCATTAAAAAATTTCATTTTCATCCCAACTAGGGATAAAGGTCTAACTTATGTAGTCTCACTATTTTCAATAAAAACCATAATTTTAAAATAACACCATTTTTTTAATTTTAACCGTTTTTTTACTTTAAAATTATTCTTTTTAATTGAAAATGAATTATTCATCAATTTAAAATAGTAAGACTACCTAAGTAAGACCTTCATCTTTAATTTGGCTGAAAATTACATTTTTAAATTTAGCATCTTCGGAAATCCTTGGTCTACAGGTCTTTAAAGAAATCTGAATAAAAAGCTACAATTAATAACTAGATACTGAAACAGCAAAAAAGATATTTATCAGCATTTAACGAGATAAGATAATGGTTTTTAGGGGAATTTTACGGGTACTTAGTTTTATTTTAGTGAAATTTCTTCATTTGGTATTTGAAAGCAAATGAACCTAATTATCATGGTTTACACCCTGCAGAGAGAATTGAAATTGTCGCATACTATTGCCACAAGTCTGCTCGGACAGCTGCAAGAGTTTTTAATAGCAGCAGCTACAGGAATTCCACGTAGAAGCCTTCAGAGGGTCTTGAAGAAGCATAAATTCCATCCCCATATGATTCATCTCGTGCAAAACAATCCCTCCATACCGCACAGGTTAGGTAAATTAACAAAGTTTTTTTTAATCATTTCCTGTAATTTTTTTTTTGAGGAGCACACTCTTCTGGCTCCAGGTGCTGTTTCATTCGGGCGCTGGTTCGCCTAGTGCTATTTTAAGAAGGCGCTATTTCGTTGGTCGCTATTTTAAGAAGGCGCTATTTCGTTGGTCGCTATTTCGTTAGTCGCTATTTCTTTGGATGCCATTTCGTTGGATGCTATTACGTTGGTCGCTATTTTGTTGGTCGCTATTTCGTTGGTCACTATTTCGTTGGTCGCTATTTCGTTGGTCGCTATTTCGTTGGTCGCTATTTCGTTGGTCGCTATTTCGTTGGTCGCTATTTCGTTGGTCGCTATTTCGTTGGTCGCTATTTCATTCGTGGACTTTTTAATTACCGCCATTTTCATTAGGCGTTCACTTAACAGTGCTATTTTAATACGCGCTATTTCGTGACAGTCATTTTAAGAAATTGCAGCCTTTTAACGTGAGGGTAGCGAATTTGATAATACTCCCCCATATATCTTATGCAGTGCACAAAAGGCCACTAAAAATTTATTGCCAGAAAAATCTGCATATATTTATCAGCAAAAATACAATGCATTTATAGAATGGTGTAGGAAGAATAAGGTGACAAAATATTCGGAAAACGTTATTTTAGCATATTTCTCTGATGAATTGAAGAATTGCAAAGCTTCTACCCTATGGTCGATTTATTCTATGCTTAAAAGCACCTTAAAATATAAAAACAACGTAGATATTTCGAAATTCAACAAGTTAATAGCGTTTCTCAAACAAAAAAATAAAGGTTATAAACCAAAAAAATCCAAAATTTTTGAACGAGAAGATCTAATTAATTTTCTGTTGAAAGCTCCAGATTCCAAGTTTTTAATGATCAAAGTAAGTAAATGCCTCAGTAAATGCTTGAATGCTCAGTATAAAATTAAAATATTCTGTAAGTTTTGCAACGAGATGTGTGTTCGTATGTTGTGTTGCCTAACAAAATCAGTTGCTGTCCTAACAGGCCACCGGGGTTGTTAGGCAGCACATTATACCTAAAACTTTTATATTTTTTACAATAGCATTTATTTGGAGTTTTACATGCGCAACGTCAAGATATTTCCTAATGTTTAATAAATTATTTGTAACATTACAATATGTTATTTTTTAGGTAGCTTTTATAATTGGAATTGCGGGAGCTTGTCGCCGGGAAGAATGTAAAATGACAATTAACGATGTGGAAGATAAACAAACAGTGTATATTGTCAAAGTATCAGAAACCAAAAATGGAATAGAACGCATTTTTACGATTTTAAATCCAAATAATTCTGCAGTTGATTATTTATCTTTCATAAAAAAATATACCTTAAGACCATCAAATATAAATTGTAACAGATTTTTTTTTAAATTCGCAAATGGAAAATATTCTAAACAGCCTGTAGGGATAAATACTTTTGGTAAAATGCCAAGTGTTATAGCAACGTATCTAAACTTGCCCAATCCAACGGCTTTTACAGGACACTGCTTTAGGAGGTCTTCAGCCACTATGCTGGCAAATTCTGGAGGAGACCTTCTAACGGTCAAAAAACATGGAGGATGGAAATCATCTGCTGTTGCAGAAGGCTACGTAGACAGCACAATAACACAAAAAAACAAAATTTCTAATAAAATTTTGATGGATGACAGTATGCCATCTACTTCCAAACAAAGCTACAATTTTACCGTTGAAAACTCTAATGAAGAATTAGTGGAACCACTCGACAGTGAAACTAGAGTTACACAAAATATTTCAACCTTTTTACTTGAAAAGGCCAAATCCATACTACTCGAAGCTCAAAATAGGGTTACAGAAGTAATATCACAACATTTTTAAACTCTGTGCTGGAAAAGGCCTAAACCTTAAGTTTTGGTAATTGCAATAATTGCACATTCAATATTAATATTCATAAGAGTTAAAAACCTATTTTTTTTTATATATTTCTACATTTGTTAGTCATTTTGTTCTGTAAGAATTATAAATTTGTAAAGTTCCAATAAATTTATTTTTGTTGCTGTGTACAATTTTTGGCACATTTTACTTTTTTTCACTAGTGCGTAAAGTAAAGTACTTTTTTTCACTAGTAACTTTTATATTTCTAATATTAGTGGATTATGTGTACGGTAGTAGAAAAATTATTGTATGCCACTCGTGTGTAAAGTCCCTTTTTTGACTCATGTGATTGTCGCACTCGCCTACGGCTCGTGCGACAACATTCACATTCGTCAAAAAAGGGTAACTTTACACACTTGTTGCATAAATAACTATTTTTGTATACATGTTACGGTTAAAGTGTTTACTTGGCTAGTTTATAGACTAGCTGAATAGTATACAAACTATCCAAATGTCTGGCTATTTTGATCGAAAATCATATTTCTACTAAAATGGCTATAAATATTGGTTGGTTTGTATACCATCTAGCTAGTTTACAAACTATACAAGATTTATAGCCAAGGTACGAACCACAAGAAAAGTACACAAATTAACCGGTGTTTTTGGTTAGTTTACAAATTACCTACAGTATTTGGATAAGATGTGAACTTAATATTCGTAGTAATACATAATAACCAACTCGTCGGTTAGTGTGCAAACTGATCAATCCTCTTTGGTTAATTTATTAGAAAAGTGAGGTTATGTTTATGGAGAGTGTTATGTGCTGTTTACTAGGGTGTTTTGCAAAGTTTGTTTAAGAGTAGGTACCTATTGAAAATAAATCAACAAGAACAATTTGAAAACCTACTTTTGGAAGTGATATAGTGAACTTAGTATTTTTATGTCACTTTTAATTATTTTACTTATTTTTTTAATAGTAATAGTAATGATATGTTGTATCTATAAAAAAAAATTATTTTTGACTATCCTAAACTAAATAAACCCAAGAGAATTGGTCAGTTTACATACTAACCGACGAGTTGGTTATTATGTGTTACTACGAATATTAGGTCCGCCATTTATTCAAATAGTTTGGATAGTTTGTAAACTAGTAAATCTTGTATAGTATGTAAACTAGCTGGATATTATACAAAGCAACCAATATTCATAGCTATTTTAGTAGAAACATAATTTTCTATCGAAACAGCCAGCCATTTGGATAGTTTGTATACTATACAGCTAGTCTGTAAACTAGCCAAGTAAACACTTTAACCGTAACATATACAATAATAACGAGGATAAAGGGTGGGTAATCTACAATGAATAACTCTGTTCAACCATATTCAGTAATTTAAATTATATCTGTTAGAAAATTATTCTAAAAGCAACTGACTTTCTGGTTAGATTTGTAAAGGAGAACAATACAATCATTCTTTTGTACAACTTACAAGAACCTATATTATCAAAATCAAGTTGACACATAAAAATTGAAGCTGAATATTTCAAATAATTTTTTAGGCAGATCCAATGATGGAATCCACTGTTTTCATAGAATCATTCCAAGGTTCCTACACTGCTTACTTATCCAGGAGGTATGCGCATCTGGGATGGTACATCGGCATCAAAAGGAATGGGAAAATAAAAAAAGGACCATTGACTGGTTATGGGCAGAAAGCAGTAAAGTTTTTGCCTCGAAGACACAAATTTGAATAATTTTTTTTCTATTAAAATTTATTAGTTTCGTGTCCATAACTATTTTCTAAATTAAATATAAATATATTTTTGGCCTGTTACTAAAGAAACACATTTTTTTTTTAAATAGATCTATTGATAGCTGAAATAAAAAATATTTTATTTTATCATTATCATGTACAATAATTTTATAATTTCATTGCACGGAAAGTACACAAGTCATTCTTGTGAAAAAAAATCTTTTGTAATGGATAAGTGTTACATTATTTTAGATCTTTAATATATTCTTAATAAACCTATCTAGAATGTGTCTATAATTTTTCAATGTTAATAGTGACATAAATCAATATTCTATATATTTGTACAATGTTTAAATCTTTCATTTACTGCTAACTCTTTTGCAAGAACTAAGAAAGGAACATGGTCGATAACCATTGTTTAAATTTTGTAAATAATGAAAAACATGTAACTAGTTCATTATTACATAGAGAATTAAAAGAGATTTAAAACAAAACTTGAGTAATTATGGAACTAGCAATTAAATTATAAGCATATAAATATTATAATTAGGTAATAGTAGTCATTAAGTGCAGAATAAGATATATTGTTTTTTACTTCTTATAAAATAGTTGGCATTAGGTCAAGATACGTCTTTGAAAAATGACATAATTTTTATTTAGAATTAGGTGCTAATTGTACTTAGAAGTTTCTTTGAAAATATTTATTAGTGTTATAAAATTAATAATTATCCACATACTATTTATTTAACACCTGTTGTTCAGTATTAGATATTATCTATTTGTCAATTTAAGTTACATCACAATTTATTTGTTATTTATTTTATAGTATACTTACATTGTAGATTTTGAAATATAGGTACTTACATTTCCAGAAATATACAATAACAACTATTAATACGTCTTTTATTTTTCGTATTATAAATTTTTTAACTTTCTTTGAACAAAAAGTAATTTACTGGTTTTATTTCTGCCGAACTTTGAAACTGATTAAGCTTTAATAATTATGCTCACAAATAATTTCTAATTTGTTATAAACTTGAAAGAAACAAAATAATAAACAGAACTGTATAAAATAGTTAAATTTAAGAGTTGTAAATATAACTAAAATAGCTGGTCTACCACTACCTGACAATGTCCCTCATATACCGAAATCAGACATATGAAAGGATATTTGGTCAATACTTAGATTTTTCTATGGATTTATTTTACGCCGGCTTAAACACCGACGCTGATGAGCACGCTAACTCCAAATACCAGCCTGCCAGCTGTGGTATGCAACTACGAGAGCCATTGTTTGGACCGACTTTTCTTAAAATGGTTACCCATCTAAGTACTAACTGTGCGCGGTCTTGCTTAATTGCAAATATTGATACAAAGAAGTAAACCTTCTAAGCCAGACCGCTGCTTCCCTTGATATTTTTTGACCCAATTTTGTATAAAATTTTAATAATAAGAACTTTTGAAATATTCATGGATCATATTATAGAGACCATAATAAAATAGTGATCGTCCCACCCCAATTTTATCAAGAGACTATTACTTTTATCTTTTATTTTCAGCATGATTTACGACCTATTCCTTCTGAGCCTTTTTTAGTACACTTTCTGTGAAATTTTCTGGAAATACCAATAATAAAAAAAATTAGTTGGAGAAACTTGATATTTTTATGAACCTTAAAAATATTTATTTTGATCATTTTTAAGGAATTTCCACAAAATAAATATTTATGAATATCTCCCTAGACCAAATATCAGCGACTATTCCTCTAGAGAAATAGTCAGTATTTGGTCTAGTGAAATAGTCAAGGGTAATATAACGATACCTTGATAAATAGTCAACTATTTTTATTGTATCTAAATTTTGAATGTTTTTGGTACCAATTTGTCGAGACATAATTTTGTCATTAATAATCTGAGAGCTTTAGCTCGAGAACTTTATTCTTTGATTATTAATGACAAAATTGTCTAGACAAATTGCAAAATACACGAAAAATTTAGTAGCAATAAATATAGGCGCTAATTTATTAAGGACGAGATATATTTAGTAAGATTATTTCTTGAGCCCTAGTTGCAACTTAAAAAAAAATAAATACACATGAAAATAACTTTTATTTCATAAATTAGAAAAAAATTAGTTAAAGTTAAAAGAAGAATTATTGTGATATTTTCAGTTTGCATATTTTGGGACATTCATCCTGCTTTTGACGAAGTAGCGGTATTCATGGTAGCAGTAGAAACTTGACTTTCTTCTACCGGATTAAAATCAGTATTCACAGAAGTGAAAGCTTGACTTTCTGTATGTCCTCGAAGTTGGTTAATAACACTTTGATGAAGCTGGTCATCCATCCATCTGTAAGTATGGTTGAATAGATGATGAACTAGAATGCCCAGTTATTTTAATCAATTGTTGCTTCGGTACACCTGATTTTGCAAGTTGAGAGACTGCTGTCGAGCGACAAGAATGGTTAGTAATCTTTAAACACTTGGTGTCTAATCCAATAGACTCCGCACCCAATTTGGTCCATTTAGAAAACTCATTCTTTTCAATAGGTGAATTTTTGTACCAGAAAGAGTTAATATTTTGCCAAAATGGATTTGGAGTTAGAAATAAACGTGAACATGTGAATTGTGGACATCGTTTTACAATCAATTTTTTGAATAATCTAACTGGGCAGTATTGCGAATTTTGAGTATTTGGAATCAACCATTTACTATCTGTACATTTTTTGTCTCCTCCTTGGCAAATTTTCGTAAAAATAGGATTATATTCTAACCTGCCTGTTTTTTTACCATCTTCAGAGGTTTCTTATTTAAAATATTCTGTTAAACATGTTGCGCCTTCCTCACCGCGCCAAGCTAATTCCACGTAAGCCAAATAATAGAAAATCTTTTGGAGACCGTCTGGAGTTTGTTCATCCAATTTGCAAATAATATCGTGTATATGTTTTAAACTTAGAGCTGTAGAACTTTGTTTCCTTTTCTCTGAACATTTCTGCAATTCCCGTCTTTTTGCATTTCGTGCATCGCGAGCACTTTTAAATTCAATACCTTGAAATGGATCTATCTTTATATTAAATTTTTTAAGATATATTTCTTGTAATGTCTTAGCAGTTGAGTTCCACATACACTTTAAAGAATACTCTTTGTAGTCGCTTCCGTCTTCTTTTTTCATGTTCCAAGCCCAATCTTTTAAGATATTACATAGTTCAGCAACAGTTTTATCATTTGATAAAACATATTTGCGCTGAACGCAAAATTTCATAAACTGATTCCACACACTATTTTTACTTTTGATTGTATTCTTTGGGGTACTATTGTCTATAAAACTGTCTATTTCTTCGCTATAATCGAATTAAATTACGAGTTTTGAGCTTACAATAAATTGTAATTAGATGAAACATAATGGATTCTATGTTTTTTGAGGTGATCTTTTCGAAAAAAGGCAAAACAAAATGTAGCAGTTTTTCGAAAGTGCCGAAATTTTGGATTTTGTCAATTTTTCAACTTTGCGCAGGCGCATGTCGGATATAAATCAATATTTTTAAAACGCAGTTTACGACATTTGGAAGCTTATAAAAAATGCTAATTTTCATGTCTCTTGAGAAATTTTGATCCGATGCACCGTTCTCGCGGTATGGACGATTGAAATTTGTTTATTATTCTAAGGCGGCGAAGGTCGAAAAATTGAATTTGTTAAATGTTCAAACACTAAATTCTTCATAACTTTGGTAAAAATTAAGATATTTGAAAAAAAAAAAGCATTTTGAACTTAAGGGATGTGACTATTGATTCCCAGAAGGAGGCAAGAGAAATCCCAAAATTGGGCATATGGCGGAAGGGCAAAGTGTACCGCGGGCCTAATTTCATTGTTTGCCTATAACGGCCAAACTATTTAAATTTTTTTAATGCCACTTACAGAGCTAACTCTTGAATATAAAATCTTATACGTGTGTGAATTTCACCGAAATCGGATTATAACTGGCCAAGATATCAAAGAATTAAACAAATTTTTTTCCCTAAAAAAAACTAAATTTTTTTTCAAAAGTTTGAAGTGGCACAAAAATGCCAAAAATGCACCCAATGGCTTAATTTTTTTTTTTTTGAGTACTTTATTGTATCTAGAATACGATTACATTACGAAAAATTCTGCAAAAATATTTTATCTATTTTTTTGACCACTGTTCATTGAGTGACGACCAAAAAACACGGTTTTTGAGAAAAGTTGCCTAAAATTGACGATTTTCAGTTTTTTGGTCTGAAAATTGAGCAAACCCAAATTTCATGTCTTTTGAATGTGTATACAAAGTTTCAAGTGTGAATGTTTCTTCTAAGTTGTAGAATTCTCCCGACAAAAGTCTCATTACAAGCGCTCCGCGGGATCCAAAACTCGTGTATATACTGCATTTCTGTAATTTGATTTTTATGTGATTTCCAGTTTTAAATTTCTTACATACCTAAATTTATTAGGCCTAAAATTTATTAAATTGTATTTTACTGACTTGTTATAAGACGTTTCTTGAGTTTTGTGCAAAAAATAGAATTACCGCAAAATTAGCCGCACGTCGTATCAAGGATAGTCATGGTCTCGGCGTTCGTTATCCGACAAGTTTAAGCTTCAAACGGTCATATTATTACAAATTGAATCGCTTGATAGTGTTCATCGGCATAGATTTTTAATAACCGTGTTCAGCCAGCTCTGTGTACACGTGTTTTTTCGGACTTCTTCAGAAATTTATTGAGTAAGTACGTTCCTAAATTAAGAAAATTCTATCACAGTGCTATATTTTTTATGTTTCCAGGTTGCATTGGCTGGCCTGTGTTTATTGTGTCATCAGACACTTGCAGAGGGTGAACTTACCCCAATTAGACCGACAGGATTGAAAGGTCTGCAGACGGCCAGCAAAGAGAGGGGGGATGATTTTTTTAATTCTTTAGAACTAGGTTTTATATTGCATGAGAGGTGTCGCAAACATTACGTAGCTCGACATTACGGAAAAGAGTTTATTTATGAAACCTGGGATAGGAATAAAAGGGCCGCGATTGACAATGCCAAAAAAAGGAGGATGGAGCATCAACCGAGAAGAAAACCAGATGTTAGAAAACAAAAAACAAGCTTATCACCAAGTTGGAACTTACACTCAGGCTTAGGATTAATTTCCTAACATTTTTAAAGTGTACCTTTTTATGTATTTTTTGTGCTCTTTCCAATGGCGTAGTTAGGTTTTTCAAATATATTTTTGTTAGATGTTTTCAGAAAACCCGGAGAAAATCATATGGGAAAAAAAATTAAAAAAACTACGCCTTCCGGGTTCCTGCGAATTCCCGAAAAATTATGTCAGATTTCGCCGCGAGACTTATTTTATTTGAGAGCCAACAAAAAAATACGTAACTTCTCTTATGGGCACATATGTCTAACATGTATAATTTCGCCACAAATTCTTCACAAATTTCATGTTCATGGTTCTGATCAAAGAAACGAAAAAACTTTTTGGTAAAAGCACTTCTGACGGCGAGAAATTCGCCATTAAAACTACCTGTGCAATGAATTTCCGAACTATTTTTGCCTCCTCTTTCGATTGGTGCATTTATTTTTACTATCAGAATGATACTTGCCCAGATAATTAGCATTTTTACTATGGAAAATTCCGGAAATCCCGGTTTTTTCCAATTTAAAAAAATTGAAAAATAGCTACATCTTTTTTTTCTTTTTTTTCGGAAAGATCACATCAAAATACACAAGTTCCACTTTGTTTCATCCAATTACAAATTAATGTAATCTCGAAGGGGCTTTTTTTCGTTATTTAATTGGACTACTATTAACACACCCAAATCGGTTCATTTTAAACTTTCACCACAGTTTATAGCTAAAGAA